CTATATCTTTTGATAGATGGGCACCATCAGCTTTCTTCACCACATTAGCTTATGCACACATTTTGTCTTCAGCAATCATGTCGGGAAGGTGAGCATCACAAAATGCCTGGTTATTAGAACAAAGTGTTCTTGAGTTGAGGGAGGACTTGACTAGAGGCCCAATGTCCATTTGCTACCTTAATACTTAACATGTAAATATATGTACATAAACCTATATCCCTGTTGCTATATATTAATATATTTCCATATGTGCATGCCCATGTTTATATCTCTATAAATGTCTTTTGCCTCCTAGTTTTTCCCTCTATTTCCTTTTACTTTCCTCCTGTCCCACTATCATTTTCCACCTTCATTCAGCTCTCCATAATTCCCCTCAGCTACATTGTACTTGATCAAACCCCACCAGGTATTCTACCCACTCCTCACCATCAATTGTAGGTGAACAGATACATTGGATGGTGTAAGATATAGCAAAAAGAATAATAGTAATATATAATATAATAATAAGTGTTCCGGGGTTGGGTGGGAGAGAGGGGGGATTCAAGGGAGCTGGTATTGACCACACCCAAAGAGTTGGTGCTGGTCCAATATAACTGAGGGGGAGAGGGGGGAGGGAAAGGGAGAAAAGCGGAGGGTGAGAGTAAGAAGATGGCAGGGGGGAGTAGGGCACCAACCCAGCCAGGGGGAGAGTATTGGTTATGTCTCCACAGAATCGGGAGTGTGCACACAGACCCCAACAGGGCGCACCAAACCACAAGGGCAAAGTACCCATGTAGAGGAATGCATGAAAAGATTGGGCTACAGGGCTGCCCCAACCAGAGCCAAACCGACCCCTCCCTAGAAGTATGTGCGACACAGAACAACACTAAACCTACAGGTTGGGGTGAGGGGCCGGTATATCACACCCACATGGAAGCAAACCAAGAAGGAAAAAGAGAAGGGGACGGTCAGTCTAGACCTCATATCGGCACACCCAGCCCCGAGGACGCCGTCCCAGCAACAGCTCAGGACATGCTGTCCCCTTGCTGGAGCATACTGCGACAGAGGACAATAGTGGGGACACACGCGGGAGGAAGTGCGGTCTGAATCCCCTGCAGTGGGGCAAACCAAGAAGGGAACACAACAGATCAGTAACAGGAGCAAAGCCAAACCACAAAGCCCCTAAAGAG